TAACAGGAGCAAAGGAAGCAAAGTTTCTTTACTTTAGCAAAGGAAAACCAGTCTCCTCTTGGCTTATATCGAAATCCTCCGACATTCTTCTTTACAAATCCTCGTTTTGTACTTCTAATTAGTGACCGTTGTTTTGTTATGATCTCTCCCCTGCGCTTCCGCGTGCGTCACTTCTGAGCGGCGCATGCGCAAAGCTGACCTCATACGTCATCCGCCTGGAGCTGTTTCCGTGTAGGACTGTCGTCTGAAAGAAGAAAGTCATATACACCTAGGATGACTTGAGGGTGAGTAATTTGTGGACTAATTTTCATTTTTGGGTGAACTAACCCTTTAATAGTTGTTGGCATTCGCTATGTAAGGTTAATCACAGTCCCCAACTGCCAAACATGAGATGTTATGATTTCTCTATATATTAGAGGTGTAACGGTACACAAATATCAGGCTCGGCAAGTACTTCGGTTTTGAAGTCATGATGTCATGAGCAATTTTACTCAACGTAACGCTGCTCTTTTTAATAAACAGTGCTTTACTGAACAAACCAGACAGTTCTGTTAGGAAAAAAAATCGTGACGCACTTTATGGTTTTGTTCTAAAGAAGGGAAGAAATTTGAAGTGCTTCCTCTTTTGGAACATATTTTAGCAAAATGTATATTTTGGTCAGAATGATTGCACTGTCACGCTGTCTGTTTGTCATTTACAGATTAAGATGTAAGTTATGCTGATGTAAACAGGTCTTCAATGCCTTAAACAACACATCTTGACAGACGAGTTAGTTTGAAGCTCTCAATTTTAAGAATTTTCGCTACAAATATGTGTACCGTTACACTCCTAATATATATAGGCTATAACTAAGTTTATATTTTATTATTTTTCTATTTATTGATATGTATTTTTGATCTTTAAATAATGATATAAATAGATATGTTTTCACATATTCTATTTGACAGTTCTTATGTTTTTTTTTTTCTCTCTGACTCAGTAAATATACTAGTGATTTTTATACACATTATAATATGTTGTGATGTCCTCTGGCTCAGTAGATATACTGTGGTGACAGTTTTATCCAAGTAAAGCTGAGTTTTCATTATGTGGAAACCGCAAAGATATGTTAAAAGCTCAAACACGTATGTACAAGTCAAGTTCAGTGTTCTGTTCAGCGTTACAGATTCATGCTTGAACCAATGAATGCATCATTCATTCGTTAACCTCAAAGTTGTCATCTAGAGCCTTAAAACAAAACATTTCCTTTTTATGTAATGTGTGACTGTGTGTTTCCCTGATGGTTTAGAATGGCGGTTCTGTCACAGTCGTACACAAAGGTCAAAACAGCGGCCCTGCGGTTTCACAGAGAGCCGGTGAGGGTGACCGAGGAGGCCATTGGTGATGCCATGATGGACAGAGCGTCAAGCTTTTGGCTTGAGACTTTTTTTGGTCCTGAAATGAAAAAAAAGGCAGATTGTTAAGCTGATTTGTAATTCAGAAAAGTCCAGATGTGACCATAATAGTTACATTTAACTAACCCACCTGTGTTATTCTGCCACCGCTACACCTGCAGAATTATCTTTGCTCTCCGAGGTTATAACTAAATATTCCGCCCTAAGAGAACGGAAGGAGGGAAAGAAAGGCAGAAGGGACAGAAAAGGTAATGAAGAAAAGAACAGCAACGAGAACTTGAAAGGTTTTGAGAACAGCAGCTTGCAGAAAATTATAGATCTGTTTAAGATTGAGGGAAATATAGTTTTGAAGGAAGAAAAGCAGTGAAACTAGAGGTGGAAATGTAAATGTTTTTTTTTTTTATCCATAAAATTTATGTTTTAAGGTTTTCGGTGCATGTTTATTAGCTTTGAACCCAGCTTTTCACTTCACAAGATTTTAATTAATGGACTGGAGTCTTGTAGATTATTGTGATGTTTTTATCAGCTGTTTGTGCTCTCATTCTGACGGCACCCATTCACTGCAGAGGATCCATTTGTGAGTAAGTGATGTAATGCTAAATTTCTCAAAATCTGTTCCGATGAAGAAACTCATCTCATCTACATCCTGGATGGCCTGAGGGTGAGTACATTTTCAGTAAGTTTTCATTTTTGGGTGAACTTTTCCTTTAAAAACAATGGTTTTCTCAGCATTGCCACAGAAGCACCAATTTTGGTTCCCCAAAGAACCTTTCAGAGAAACGTTTCTTGGTGTGAAGAACATTTAAAAAATCTAAAGAGCATTTTTCCATTATGAAGAATCATTTGTGGAATGGAAAGTTTCCATGGATATTAAAGGTTCTTCATTTGAACCATTGATGCCAATAAATAACTTTTATTTTTAAGAGTGTATAAGCTATATGCTAAGTTAGCTAAATTAACTTTTACCATATGAACTCTACAGACTTTCTTGTCTGTTTAGGGTGGTATACAAATACACCCTTCAATATGTTTCGTCCATATTTCCTGTTTTAATAGGACATCCCTAAAGGTCCCCTAACAAGGCAGACAGGTGTTTGTTATTAAGGAAGAGCAAAGAGAATGGAAGTCTGAGGAAAATGGAAATGTGAAGACATGTGACTCACTCGCTCTCTCTCAGAGCTTCCTCTCCAGCTGCTGCGATCTTCCTGTAACAGTAGACCATCTCCACCACCAGCCATAACTGCAGCCCGATAATGGACACGTACATCATGATCTCAGATAAGATGGACGCTATGCCTCGTGTAGCTGGGGGTGAGTGAGAAAAAAATTCTCTATATTAGGCTTTTCTATACCTTTCACATTTTCATATAATAACACCTTATATGATTACTTTTGATTCACTACTCTTTTAATTTTGATCAAAAATGATAGAAGTATTTGTGCAGGTTTCAGCACTGTCAGTATTATGTAAGATCTCATAATGTTCAGTGGTGACGTCAGTGCTGATGTGGGCCTGACTCAGCCCCTGACTGGAAGTTAAAGATACTTCTAGCTGAATAATCACTGTCAGCATACATGACATGATGGCTTTGTCCAAGTGGACAGACATGTTCTCAGCTGAAGCATCAAACTGGACATGTGGCCCTTCAGATTTCTAAGAAGCTGATTTTGAAAAATTGCAATTTGATAATTTGTCTATTTTACATTGTATTAAAAGGGGGAAGTGTTTGTCCAAAATACTCTACATCTTCTTGATTTTTCCCCATAAAACACAAAATGAGATATGTTGCTAAATGAATTGCCTTGTGATTACTGGCTATCAAACTGTCTAAAATTGTTCATTAGAGTGGGAGTTTTTGAATTCTTATATTTAAGCTATTAAGCTATTATATTTACATTTTTATATATTATTATTATATATTACATATTATACTTTATTTAGAACATTTTATATTAGTTAGTTGCCATGGCTAATTTAGTTCAATTTTTAAGCTAATAATTATATTTGATTGTATTTTAGCTTTATTTCAATTGTCAAATATTATATTTAATAGACTTAGTTTTTGTTTTAGTTAACAATAACAACACTGTTGACTACTTGACTAATGGGACATGATTTTATACACGAGTTTTTTTAATAATTTGCAATTGACTATTTATTTATTCTGTTGTCCTGCACATTTCCTATTTTTCTGAGCATAGATAGTTTTTTTTCTTTTGTCGTGTTTTAGCTTGCTTTATCTTCTTTTATCATGTTTTATCTTGAGAAAAAGCTCAGGCAAAAAAAGTATAATGTTGCATCAATCCACATCAATCCACAATAGAAATATTGTAAACATTTTTTTTTTCATCTAAATAACTCTGGGCAAATAAAATATGTACATTAGATTTTTAAAGATCCCTGCTCTCAAACAGATAAGCATTGGTGAGTCAAAGACAGCAATGATGAACGCCTTGATGCTGCTGCTATGACAACACTTTGCTTTCAGGGCCGTGTAAAGGCAGTGACAGTGTCCTTGCTTTTGACATTTCAAAGGCATTTCTATTCAGTGTTGACTCATCTTTCTTTATGGACACACCCTTGAGTTCCTTTCAAGGATGAATTAAGGATATTGTCAGGCTAATGATGTTGTCACCGCCTTACTTTGATTTGTGTCTGTTTGCATTTGGTTCCTCTCATGTAAATTTCCTTATTCCCACTGTCTGTTTTAATGAACATACCTTTGCCTACTACATTGATGGAGATAAACGTGGTGGCACTGGTGCGGTACTCGTAATTGGAGAATACAAGGGTGCGGTCGAAGAAACATCGATAGGTGCCGGTGTCATTGAAGGTGACGTTAAGGATGTAAATTGAGCCATCCTGCACATCACGAGTTTTTTTACTGCCGTTCCAGGCTAGACGTTCATCGAAGCGGTCATCCATTATGTAGCCTGTCATGTCTGCATAACTGTAGATCTAATTGTAAGAAAAAAGAGCTCTTATTAGCTTGTGAGACTGCTATGACAAATAACCAGTGTGAAGGACACAGTATCTATGCAGCACCCAAAAATTCTCCAGTACTTTGTGTCTCTAAAAATAGCTGTTAAAAAGGCACAAGGTCAGTAGTTGACTGTTGTTTTTGTCTGTATTTTATAGTGATGTGTCGTTCAATTTGAACGAATCTTTAATATGACTCTGGAACATCGAGTTGTCTCAGCGAGGGATTCGTTCATTTCGTGTTGACTGCATATGCGCAACATCCTATTGGTTCTTTACAGGAAACAGAAATGATTAGTTCACCTCTCGAATCTTCGGGTTGGGGTTCGAGTCATTCGTTCATCCCGTGACAACCCCATAGACTAGAGGCTATGCAGCCTGTACCGAAAAGAGAAATGATTAGTTCACCTCCCGAGTCTTCGAGTCTGAGTCGTTCGTTTTAGCAGTATCGGATACAGAAATTAGTTAATAATTCCCAAACTTCCTTACAAACATGCGCGTAGTCATTTTTTTAACTCTTACAGTTACGTGATGTGTTTATGATCTCAAATTTTTTTTTATTTCTTACAAGTTAATTACAACAACGAACGACTCCGATCGGGAGGTGAGGTAAACTAACAAGACTGCATAGCCTGAAGCAATGAATTAATCATTTCTTTTTCTCATAATTTGGCCTTGGTTTATAGTTTTTTCTTATTCGAAATGTGATCAATGTCGCGTAAGTAGATGTGTTGGGGAATTTGGCTATTAACGTTTAACATTTTATATGATCTCAAATTTTTTTTTATTTCTTACAAGTTAATTACAACAACGAACGACTCCGATCGGGAGGTGAGGTAAACTAACAAGACTGCATAGCCTGAAGCAATTAATTAATCATTTCTTTTTCTCATAATTTGGCCTTGGTTTATAGTTTTTTCTTATTCGAAATGTGATCAATGTAGATGTGTTGGGGAATTTGGCTATTAACGTTTAACATTTTAATTATATTCTGCTGAAATGAACGAAATTAATGAAATTACTTGAAAAAAAGATTGGTTCATTTTGATGAACGAGATTCAAAGATCTGAGTCAGTAAAATGATCGGAACTTCCCATCACTAATATTTTACTCTACACTGCCCCCTGTCTACAGAAGAGCACCATCAGTTTAAAGGGATAGATTACCTAGAAATGAAAATTCTGTACGAGTTTCTTTCTTCTGCGAAATACAAAAGAAGATATTTTGAAGAATGCTGGTAACCAAATAGTATGGAACAAAAATACTATGTAAGTCAAATGCTACTGTTTTGTCAACTGTTTGTTACCAACATTCTACAAAATATCTTCTTTTGTGTTCAACAGAAAAATAAACTTTTACAGGTTTGGAACAACTTGATGGTGAGTAAATGATTACAGAATTTTTATTTTGGGTAAACTTTCCCTTTAATGGTCTTGGAAAAGCTGTAAATGGCATGTGTGTCACGTATGTGTTCGTGTTTAGTTCCTATTTGTCCTTCCAGTTCCTTTTCCCATTATTAGTAATCACCTGTTCCTTGTTATTAGTTATCCTCATCATCTGTCTGCCCTTCATTATCTGCCCTATTTGAGTTCGAGCCCGTCCTGTTCTCCCTTGTCTGGAATTGTTCATGTCAACCTTGCTACGTGTGTTTTTCTGTTTCCTTTTGATTAGTAAAATTCTCCTACTTCTCCTCGCTCCTTTGCTCCACGCTCCTACACAGCAGCAGTTCCGTGACAATGTGATTTGTCAATTTTAGTTTTTCAAAGTAATGTAAATTAGTAAAATATATTTTTTATATCATAAAAAATTATAAAAACAATATATTAATATAATAAAAATAATAAAAAAAGAGTGTTTTGGTCTTTTCTAAAACAGTTCATAGGCTAGATGGTGTTCTTGCACTGAAAAAAAATTGGTGTAGGAGTTACTTATATAATTTATAATAATTTCAATAATTTTTTACACAATAAATTGTTAGTAAATTGCATTAATATTTACAAAAACAACAGAAAGTAACACATTGAATTAAAATAGATTTTTCAAGTAGAAAGACTGAAATATTATTTTCTTGTAATATGTAGTCCAGTTATCTTTGTTTTATTTGCATGAATCATTGTTACAGTGTAGAAGAGTGCAACATTCAACAGGGATTACATTTTTTACATTTATACTTTATTACATTTAATTATCTATGAAATGATTTTATAAATCCTTATCCAGTAGTGTGGAGAGGTCATGGAACTGAATTGGATAAAAAATGTAGAAACCCTGAAAATAGAATTTGCTTTGCATTACTTTTAATATGCCAATAATTTCACATTTTTAATGAAATTGTTTATATTAAATATTAAATAATATTATAAAGTGTATAAGTAGCAGCTAATTGTTCTAATGGCAAAGGACTTAAACTGCCTTCCTTGTGAAGTGTCCACATATTCCGCTCGGGAATATTCCTTGCTGAAAATGGTGTGCAGTAATTCACTTCTGACCACAAAGACCATCATAAAAAATGCATGATCTTGGCTTTGCATAAAAATGCAACAGGTTTAGATCTGCTTTGGGGTTTAGAATTTTTTTTTTTTTTACCATTTACCATTATTTTGTGCATTTTTCACGCAGGCACACGGCTGTACTATAGCTCTTGGAGAAAAAAAGGGGTTTAAAAAAGCAACTGCATGATGCAATTAATTTAGGCAATGCATCATGGTCCCCTATATAGTTGTCCATTCACTGTACAGAAAATACTAATTCTGTGGACAAGTGACCGATTTCAGGAAGTGAAACGAAGTGACGAAACCGGAAGTGACGAACTGCAAGCTTTGAATGCTTATATCTTCTAAATGCGAATTTTGTCACTGTTTTAGAGCACACTGCCTTATAGATAACCTTAAGACTAACATTGATACTAACACCCAAAAAACTTTCATTTTGATTTCATGGGTACTTTAAGCTGTAATGCATGGTCTTTGGTCTCATACTTACGTATGCAAATTCACTCTCGCCTTTGGCCATGAACCACCAGTCCACTGTGGCAGAGGCCAGTACTTCTCCTCTCATCTTGCAAGAGATACAGCCTAATTTGAAGCCTCGACCCATCACTGCCTCTGTGTCGGAGTCCACCTCCACACATGCCCCATGGCAGAGCCAAGCTACAGGAAGAACAAAACATTAAATGACAGAAACATCTGCTTGACTTCATAAAACACTCTATTAAGTCTTAACGATGCCCACTTTTTTGTTTTGAACTGACAGGCATTAGTATGTCTAAATCTTCTCTTTTTATTTATTTTTTTCATGCGTTCCCATTTTTTTGGAATTATGCATGCTGGCTTTTTTAGTTAAAGGCAGAGCATTTTCTTGCAAGCTTTATTTCTACTCATGAAAACTGACTGTGCATTAAAATAGTTCAAATTATCTGTGATCTCAGAGCACAGTATTTGCTTTGTATTTTTATTTTTTTGTCCTAACAGAAAAAAAGCTTTGAGGGGAAATAAATTGTTAGCGGTGAGCTATGATCCTTTTTTCGAGTCATTAATCTATTTTCATATATAGATGCAAGTCTCTATATATGCCAGGAAGTCGCAAACACTAGCAAAAAATAACACACCTGATATTCCAAGTATCTTTCTCTCACACTTCACCCTGCAGTTTCCACAGAGACATCTGCATCGTTCTCAACCAATGATCTTTTTGTAATTCTGACCTCTGGAGAAGTATTTATATATGTGCAATGAGATGAGGGACAGGAAACATCGCACACACATCAATCACAGCTACAGATTTACATTATTAACTAGAGTCATCCTGCCGGACTTTCTGCGATTTAGATTTTTTACTTCACTGTAATACTCAGGAAAACAACATTTACAATTTGCTTTTGATGGCTGAGAGGAAAGGAGGAAGGAGAAAAAGAGTAAACATTTTAGCCACATAAACTGGAAGACAAGAGAGGAAGAAAACGAGAGAGAGAAAGAGGGAGACAAGAGTTAAACGTTTTCAGCGTTACATCCATCACATCACTGATCATCATTGACAGATTATTGATTTATTGGCTTCTGATTGGCTGCGGGGAGGAAGAAGAAGGGTAGATTGGGAGGAAAGACAATTATCATCATAGATATCCTACAGTTTTGGAGGAAAAGGGAGGAAGGGTATATAAACATGCTGACACACTCCTACAAACAAGCAAACCAATAAATGGCTGAGATATAAATTTGATACTTAAAAAAAAAACACTACAAACTGCAATTAATTAATTTAATGAGGCATCACACCTTTTTAATGTACAGTATGTCAGTGGATTTCAATTTTGAGATTTGCTAAAGATTCCACCCAGGTAACAAAAATATATTCTAAGAACGTTTTGCTAATGTTCCTATTAAGTTATATAAACGTTATTTCTGAATGTTCTCTTTTTAATGAGAGTATCCTTTTTTAAATGTGACCCTGGACCACAAAACCAATTTTTCAAATTTGAGATTTATACATCATCCGAAAGCTGAATAAATAATCTTTCCATTGATGTATGGTTTGTTATATGATAGGACAGGATAGGAATATTTGGCTGAGATACAACTATTTGAAAATCTGGAATCTGAGGGTGCAAAAAAATCTAGATGTTGAGAAAATCGCCTTTAAAGTTGTCCAAATGAAGTCCTTAGCAATGCATATTACTAATCAAAAATTAAGTTTTAATATATTTACAGTAGGAAATGTACAAAATATCTTCATGGAACATGATCTTTCCTTAATATCCTAATGATTTTTGGCATAAAAGAAAAATCTATAATTTTGACCCATACAATGTATTTTTGGCTATTGCTACAAATATCCCCGTGCAACTTAAGACTGGTTTTGTGGTCCAGGGTCACAAATGTTTTTTAAAAAATTCTTCTAGGTTATGCAGCCGTTAGAGAAAACAGTAAGGGAACTTTCTTTTTGAGAACATTATGAGAACGTTAGTTTTGAATGTTCTCTGGGCGTTCTGAAACAAGTAGTAACGTTTAAAAAAACGTTAAAGAATTCAACTAAAATGTTTCAGAAAAAACATTGTATAACCATTGTAAAAAAACAAACAAAAAAAAAAAACATGTATAAATAACGTTTTTTGTGTGCTAATGTTTTGAGAATTTCATTAAAGACCAGATAATCAGATAACATTCTATTAATGTCACTGAAGGAACGTTTGTTCATAACTTTGAGAGTCTTACTGGAACAATTAGCCAAAGTTCTTAGAACATTCCCTGTTACTTGGGCATTTAACAGTGATTTCAGTCTATTATTGTTTTTAACGATTAACTGCGCAATAGAATGTTTTCTTTCTTTTGACGTGCATACAAGTGTAACGCTTATTGGAAAAGAAAAAATGTAGAATGAGGACTTTGCATCAGTTGTTGATTAGATTTTGAGGTGTGAGCATCGCACTCAAAAGTGAATGTGAGCTTGCAGTCGATTGCAAGAAAATGTAGAGGGGTTTAAGCAGAATGATTGGAGAAGTACGACATGCGTCACAAAAAGATCAATAACATGCATTTACAAAACAGATGAAGGGTGAATTTTGATTTCATGCTGACTTTAGATGACCGCAAAAAAGATCTGGGGATTTTTAGGAATCGAAATAGGCAGATACATCAACGAACACTATAAAGTGTGGGATGGAAGGAGACATTGCCCTTTAAAAGCAAAGGAGGGACAGTATATGCACAATAAGATGATCTCACATCTGTCAAAAATTCCCTTCTACACTTCTATCAGTCACTGCAGCGGAAGGGAGTTATTACATAACCTCTTTTTACAGATTATGCAATTTATTCCAGATTAGACTGCACAATGGCCGCTTAATCCTGGGACAGAATTAATGCATTAAAGAGTTGAATTAAGCGCTTTTAACAACTCCTTCATGATGCATTTTTGGACGGAAATGTGAGAGACCAACACTTTTGCAAATGCTTTTACCCACAGCAACTTTTCATTCAAGGAAACATTTGATCAGTTCATGCATTTCCTGGGAATTGAGCCCATGACCTTGGTGTTATTTGCTCTACTGTGGTGCAATGAGACATACAAAGATATAGAAGAAAAAGCCTTTTGAGAGCTGATTCAGGCTTTCTACATGAAAACAAGCAGCCGGGGACAACGTTTCCATGCCAGCCAGCAGTCTCAAACTATAGCAGTGACATATACAGTCTGGCCTCTTGGGAAATGGCAAAGATATGTGACAAACACAGAGCTCCAGGGTAGAGACTTTCCATAGAAACAAGGGCTCTTTGATATGTCGCCCAATATGTGATATCATGTTGGCCAGTATTTTAGTCAGTGTGGTCTAACAATCGTCCTATTGAATCCACATGTTCTCATATCCATCCACTCCAGTTTTTAATCTTAATCGAATCTCTAAAATGAATCCACAATGAGCGATTCTATTGGTGACCCATGGTCAAGGGTAAATGGCAAACAGCAGTGATATTTCCCCAGGCGACTAGATCTAATGACAAAGCCTGTTCTTTTTTACCACTAAAACGGAAGTTTTTCCGCATCCATTCTTGAAACTGGGATGACGGGTGGGCTGCGCTGCAGTTTCTCTTTTCCTCATGCAATTGCCATTTCCTCAACTTCTCAGTGTAACTGATGTGAGCTTTAAGTATTAAACCAGCAAGAGACATCGTTCATACATTATGTCCTTGTGTGCCCTTGCCCAGATTTAGCATTCATGTTCTCTGCGCCCTCCCCCACCATCTCATCCTCTTTCTGAAGCGCGCATTCAAACACACCTTTTCTCATACACACGTCAGTTATCCACAGTGCCAGACCAGTGCGTGCACAAAA